AGCTGGCTTCAAATGGGTTGATTCTTTTGAAACGGATTAATTCTCAGGATGCAACATGTTAACCCATTCACTCAGATGGCACTCAGACTCGGCATTGAAGTTGATATTGTGGAGTCCCTCATGTTCCTCATAGTTGCATTTGGTACCTTCGGAATTCTCTGCCAAATATTACTGGTTATGGCCAGAATATTATGTGCAAAACAGAAATCATGATGTAATCTCATTATGTGAAATCTATCTGTCTCCTCCTATAGGTTGTTTTCTTCCCTCTCAGCCAAGTAGATATCTTGCCTTAATCAAATTCAGTAGATTGTCAGGAGGTGAGAAAATTGCCAGTTAGGCCAGATGTTCTCCCATGTAGAACATGGCATTTTTAAAAAGCCACACACATAATTGTTTTCTACAGTTATATCCAGATTTGCAAAATAGTGTGCAGGACTAATTATAGAAGACTGAAAGCATGATCTACTTTTTAGTTTACTATTATGCAGTGAATGTAAGGCCTTTAGTAGATGCACCCTATTAGGATGGAGAAGATTGGATGGAGAAAAGGATTATGCTTGTACACATTTATACATGCAGACCTATTCTGCTTTAAATTAATAGACTAGCAAAACGCTGTGGACATAGTATACTTAGATTTCAGTAAGGCATTTGACAAAGTAGACCACAACCTACTTCTTGGTAAGCTAGAAAAGTGTGGAATAGACAACATCACCACCAGATGAATTTGTAGCTTAGCTGGCTGACAAACAGTATTCAAGAAGTAATCCTCAAAGATACTACATCCACATAGAGAGAAGTAAGCAGAGGGGTACCACAAGGCTCCGTGTTAAGCCCAGCACTCTTCAATATCTTGATAAATGACTTAGATGAGGGAATTGAAGGGAAACTCATCAAATTTGCAGATGACATTAAACTGGCAGGAGTAGCCAACACCCCAGAAGACAAACTCAGGATCCAAAAAGATCTTGACAAACTTGAACAATGGGCCCTGTCCAACAAAATGAGTTTCAATGTGGAGAAAAGCAAAGTTTTACATTTAGACAGGAAAAATCAAAGGTACGAGTACAGATTAGGTGAGACCTGGCTTAAAATCAGCAACTGTGAGAGGGACCTTGGAGTCCTAGTGGACGATCATTTGACTATGAGCCAGCAGTGTGCAGCAGCAGCCAAAAAAACTAATACAATCCTGGGTTGTATAAACAGAGGCATAGAATCGAGATCAGGCGAAATATTAGTACCGCTTTATAAAACTCGAGTAAGACCACACCTGGAATACTGCAACCAGTTTTAGTCACCATACTACAGAAAAGGTGTTGAGGCTTTGGAAAAAGTTCAGAGAAGTACAGCTCAGATGATCCAAGTCCTGGAGACTAAAACATGTGAAGAACGGCTGCAGGATTTTGGTTTGGCTAGTCTAAAGAAAAGAAGAAATAGAGGTGACATTATAGCAGTATTCCAGTATTCCACAAAGAAGAGGGGGTCAAATTATTCTCCAAAGCACCAGAGGGCAGGACAAGAAACAATGGTTGGAAACTAATCAAAGAGAGAAGCAACCTGGAATTAAGCAGAAACTTCCTAGCAATGAGGGCAATCAGAATAGAGCTGGAAGGTACCTTGGAGGTCATCTAGTCCAACCCCCTGCTCAAGCAGAAGACCTTATACTATTTCAGTCAAGTTGCTCACAAATATAAACAAAATGTTACAACTTGCAATTTCCTTGCAACTGGTGTTAAATGGTATTCTGCCTATGATTCAGGAGAAGAATAGAATAGAATAGAATAGAATAGAATAGAATAGAATAGAATAGAACTGGAAGGGACCTTGGAGGTCTTCTAGTCCAGCCCCCACATCAAGCAGGAGAATCTATAGTGTCTCAGACAAGTGACTGTCCAGTCTCTTCTTAAAAACCTCCAGTGATGGAGCACCCACGATTTCTGAAGGCACGCTGTTCCACTGGTGAATTGTCCTCACTGTTAGGAACTTTCTCCTAACTTTCACCTAGTTAACCAGTGGAACAGCTTGCCTTCAGAAATTGTGGGCACTCCATCCCTGGAGGTTTTTAAAAAGAGACTGGACAGTCATTTATCTGAAATGGTATAGGTTCTCCTGCTTGAGCAGGGGCCTGGACTAGAAGATCTCCAGGGTCCCTTCAAGCTCTATTCTATTCTAAATGTATAGGCTCCCTTATCCCGCAGAAGCATGCACTCTTTTTATTAACATCTTAATAATCAGAGAGTGTATGAAGTAATGATTAAGAACTTGGATTAAAAATAGGTAGACCCAACTTTAAGACTGCCTTCAGTCACAGAAACGTACTGGGGCCAATCAGTCTCATCTCAACTTATAGTACTTTATAGGACTGTTTTTGTGAGGACTAAAAAAAGGAAACCCCAGCATAAGTGGCCTTGAGTTCCTGCAGTAAGATGGGAACTCTTAACAAGTAAATACACCCTTCCATGGATAATGGTGTTTGTCTTTCATCATTTAATGTAATAATATTATAGGAACAATTCCAGAAAGTCACCCTTAGAGAAGAAATCATCACTGCTAAAGTTCATACAACCTGTTTATTGACTGGGCATGTCTATCCATTAGAAATCAAATTAGATGAAATGCAGCCTACTGATTTCAGTGGAGTCTCTTAGATACAATACAACTTGTGAAAATTTTTTAGTGAAAATTGTAAAAATTGGATTTGAGATGATAAACATTTGGAGAATTATGGTTGTATGTAACATGTAATTATGATAGCATGAGTTTAACCAGCTCCTTTAATGATGTCTACTGTAATTAAATGATGATGTTATGCAGGGTACATAGATTGCTGAGGATGTTGTAAAACTAACAAATCAGTTTAAAAAAATCCTCAGTGTAAATGTAATTATCATATTAGATTATTTGAGAGGGAACAGATTTCTGCTTTATTTTAGGTATTTTCTGACCAACAGAAAATTGGTACGTTGCTTTCAAAGTCCTCAAAACTGGGAACTGAAAGTCTGGATTAACACATCATGCTAAGCAACAGTTCAGTAAATAAATCAGAGCAGTTGAGTTTACACTTTACTGTAAACCATAATATGTGTCGAAAACCCAAAATTAAGCTCATTCTCATAAGAGCTCCCCATTGTGCAGATATGGAACCCTGACGATCTGCACGTTACCCTATTGCGTCGATTCATCTGAGACCTGCCACTCTTTTTTCCCTGGCCTTTGGAAACTCTGGAGGTTATACCCTTTGTGTAGCACTCCAGTTTGTTGTGGAGCATGACTATTTTCTATAGCAAACACGGAGGAATAGATAATTGATTTTAACAGAGCATATCTGTTAAACTCAGTGGTTCTAAACCTTGTTCCTGCTCCAGCAGTATAAGTAAGAAACATGCAGCCTTAAAATATACAAACTCGCTGGCACTCTTGATCCATGACCCTCCTGGCCTGTGAAGGCAGCCAAGGAGTTGTGTAGCAGCTTCTGCGGTCTTGCATGAAGCAGATTATCTAGATTTTTTTTTCAATTATATTTAGATCTGAATATGGTAAGAAAATGGCATGCATCCGGCTTTTGGATTATCTATGGTGTGGACAAGATGGTGGCTCTGGGATAGTGGTATCCTTCTGGACTGATTCAGAAGATTGGAGGTGCCGAGCACAGTGTTGTCCTAGTTCATCTCCTTTACACGGTTGGTTCTAGTCAGTGATGATTGGGGAGGAGAGTTCCTGCCCTCTATCCTACTATTTGAGGTGCCCACAGGGGTTAGTGTTCTCCCCTATCCTATTTAACATCTACATGAGAGCATTGGGTGAGTTCATCCATTGCCATGGGGTAAAACATCTTCAGTATGCTGATGCTACTCATTTGAACATCTACGCCCCTGGTGAATTAAGTGATGCTGTAGACATCCTATACTGTTATCTGGAAGTGGTGAGCATCTGGATGAGGAACAACCGGCTTCAACCGAATCCTGGCACGAGTGAGTGTCTTTGGGTTTTGAGCCCTTCTGGTTCTGGGACTCTACTTTAAAAAGTGGCACTCTTAACGAGAATTGGCCTGCAAGCATGATGAAATCTTAGGTGATTTATCAGCTTCTTAAGCTTTTAGCTTTTTAATGTTAAGTTAATTTTTATTTAACCTGAAGTCTTAGTGGACATTGTCTAGGAATGTCCTGTGCACCATGCTGATGACCTCTGATGCAACACCCCCCCCCCAAAAAAGCCCCAACATACGATTAATTGCTTCCATGCCACAGCAATCAGAATGGCTTCAGAAAGTGTGGAGGTCATGAATTTGTTCTCTAGATATGTATTCCTTTTATACTGTTGTTTTCTTCCTGTTTCTTTTTGTTGCCTAGCTGTATAAAGGGAAATGGGATGCCTTTTCATATATGCTTTAACCATATGGACCATGATTCATTTCAAAAACTATGCTTGGATACAAGTTGGTTTCCAAATGTAAACAAGCAAAAATACACCCTTATGATTTAAAATTATTATTCAGTAACTTGAGTAAGGTCGTGTGGCCTAAAAAGGATTAAGGTCTTCCTTTTCCTCTTTGTGTGCCTTATATTTTAGTAACAGGAAATGTGGTCAACTAAAATGTTTTGTTTTTCCTGTAAGAGTCAACATTAGCAGGTGTTAGTTGCATTGATAGAAAAGTGTCCAACTGCTTAACAAAGGCTATGCCCTAGGAAATGGTATTAGTTATAGACTTTTCAGTTTCAAAAGAACTTTTGATCCCATTTTTCTGCATTGAAATTTATTATGGAGCAACCAAATGAAAGTCATCCAGTGTAACTATGTGATTAATATAGGACTCAGTCTATAAGTTATTCTAGAAAATGTATGAAGCACCAGTCCCATATTTGCAACTTTAAAGGCATGTGGATCCACATATTCTTAGTGCTAGATCCATAACAAATAAATGCCTAGTGTGCAGGCCACTAAAGTTTTGGACACTGGCGTTGTTGTATAGCAGTACAAGAGCTCAGAAAGAGTGGAGGATAAGGGAGCCTGGCATGCTATGGGGTTGCAGAATCAGACATGACTTAACAACTGAACAAGAACTAAATTAGTTAAGATGCAGAATGCATCTTTTGATTTAATATGAAATTTTTAAAAGGAGCAGTATTGGTCAGTGTGATAATTAGAACAAGCCATTGGAACCACTGGAAGTATTTATGTCAAAGCAAATGGTGGTGCTACTGAAAGAAAGAATGACTGGAGGAAAGGAAGAACATCTGACCTGGCCGAGCAGTTTACCACATCCTTTAATCTGGTAGTGCTATGCTTTAAATTCCCTCCACATTATACTCTTTTAGATAATTGTGATAATCCAAAAATGATACAGTGAATTGTTATTACTGGTAGGGTAGGTTTTTTTCTCTCTAATTAAGAAAAAATCTTGTAATTTCAGAGAATGTAAAAATGTAATTTCAGAGAATGTAAAAAAGCTAATGGAACTTACACATTGTTTATTGTTTATTGGCCTTCATTTTCCTGACGCAATATTATTTATATTTCAGATGGACTAGTGAATGGTTTCTGTTGTAAATGTGAAAACAAGAGTGAACTACTCTTTAGTTGACATATTGTCTTCGATCTAATTTCAACTTCCACAGATGCTTTGCCTGACATGTTTTTTAGAATTAGGTTAAAGCTCTGTCTGCAATACTATTTTAATTTACTATATGAAAATGGAAATACGCAAGCCAGTCTGATTCTCCCCCCAAAATAAAACATCCCCCCACCCACCCAATGACTTTTCCAGCTGTTGTGGCTGAGGCTGTTTTCCTGTTACAATATCAGTGGAATGCAAAAAGTCTAAAGCTATATCATTATGGTTATTGGAATTGTTTTCCTTAGTACATTTTGTTATGTGAAATATCCAGTATGTTGGAAATAACAGCCTAAGAAAACTGGCTGCCACAAATTTCCTTCAATGGTACTAGGAGACATAATTTATATAATAAGATTTCCTATTTCTAGCTTTCTTACGATAGATTTTAGATTGCTTGTTGCTGCTGCTCTTTTTCAGCTCCAGTAGCCACTTTTGGAGTATGGCACAAGAAAGGGTCAAGCAGAATTCTCTGGTAATGCATGTCAGGGAGGGGGGGACAGTTATGTAGCTGTTCCATTCATAGTTCTACAAATGTAACCTTCCAGCTGGGGACACTCAACAGCAAAGCACCGAACAGGAAGTTGGATCAGCCAATCAGCGTGCAAGATGCAAACTTCTGCCAAACACACAGTTGGGATTTGGGAGGTGAGCATGTCAGCCCATTTGCAGCCATCTGCAACTTATGCTAACCCATCAACCCCTTCACAGCTTCGGTATGCGGTGACACTTGTGTGCAGTTGCGGGCAACTCTACAACAAGCTTAACTCAGAGCCCTTGAGAATCTATTCATACCTAAGCCAATATAAAACTAAATGCTCCTTAAGAACTCCAAGCATATCCTTCAAGTGCAAACAGAGCTGTAAGTTGAAAACAAAGGAGCTAATAGATTCTCAGTATCAGAAGAACAAGTGTCATTGACTGAGATGGGTGCCCATAGAAATTGAACCAATAAGTAAATAAAATAAACACAAACCAAACCAGGAATGAGCTGTCCTCGTGTCTTTAACCACCAAGTACGCAAGGTCTCTCAGTAGTGCCTTTAACTATCAGAGTTAAATCATCAGAGTTAACTTAATGCTTACCTTCTGTATGAACTTTCTCTAGTAGGGCAGACCAAATTAAGAAATTTACAGTACAATTTTAATGTATTTACTGAAAATTAAATATCCATCATTTGGGCTCAACCATTGTAAAGGGTGAAGAGAGAACTAAAATTCTAAAATAAAAAGCAATAGTAATTAAGATGAATTAAATTGGCAACATGTAATTTCTTCTCTTATCCTTATTTGTACTGGCTGAAGACTAAGATCTCATTTTAATCACAACATCGATTCACAATTTGTCTGGCACAGAATTTTATTTTCTTTCATTTTTACAAAGGGCTGGGGAAATGTAAGATTTTTGAAATTTAGGTTTTGGTTGAAAAGATGTAAAGTATTATTAGAAAATGTGGAAATGCGGAACTGTAAACACGTATGTATAAACAAAAAACAGATGTCTTTACAAATGAAAATAATTTCAATTGATCTAGTAAGTAACAAATTAAGCTTATCTATCCAGCTGTTAGTGAAATGTCCATTCCATTTTTTAGTTCTGTTTAGGTTTGGAATTAATGAGGTCTTCACCCAAGATCTGAAATTAAACTTTTCAATATTTAGCAGTTTGCAAGAGTAGTCTTCCTCCTTACTATGAAGATTGAGAATAAGTATCATGCTTTTAAAAATAAATTTTTAAAAGTGGATATTGGCAGCACCCAAACAAATGAAATTTCTTTTTGGATCCACCGTTCTCTAACTTATGTGACGTATAAAATGATAAATGGAGTGTTGATAAGTCTATCCCATGCATAAAACTAAGAATTCTGTTAGGATAACTGCCAGTGGTAAACTTTGAAAAACGAAGTAGGGACACTGTCAAAAGTAGTTCCTGCATTGTGCAACTCTTTCAAGACAGCTCGAAAAAATGCAGCAGAGAGCAAAGTCAAGAGCAGATAAATTTAATTATATAAAACAAAATTAAAAATGAAGTTTTCAATTTTTTAAAATCAAAAATTAAATTTTAATTAAAATTAAAAGCAGAAGCCTCTAACACAGTGGTTCTCAACCTGTGGGTCGGGACCCCATTTGGGGTCAAATGACCATTTCACAGGGGTCGCCAAACCACGCTGTCCGCCATTTTTTTCCCTTTTCCCTAGCTGTCCTACTCCCTCTTATTGGTGGCCACACCCACTTGGGGATCACCACAACATGGGGAACTGTATTATGGGGTCACGGCATTAGAAAGGTTGAGAACCACTGCTCTAACATTAAGAATTACATAAGAGTTTGACCATTTTGTTTTTTTTTTTTAAATAGGACATCTCTGACTACAATCTATACCTTCTGTGCACCATCATGGCTTCTATGGATCCTGGATTGGTGACGGTTATCATAGGGAGTCATTTGAAAGTGATTTTCATATAATGACCATTAGATGTGCTTTGGTGAATAAATGCAGGTACTGTTAGGCCATGTGCACAGAATGTTGTGGGTGAACGGTTGCTGCAGCAATAAAAATCATTGTTAATATTGCAAAGATTTAAATTTAGCAATAGAACAAATAATTGCCACGCAAACGTTTAAGTTCAAGGACTCAGGCTTTCTCTCTAGCAAACAAAATTATTTGGTTTGCCCAAAGGTTTTAAGTACCTAAAAAATGTAAAATTCTAACATTCAAAACTGCAGAAATCTTCTTGGCTTCAATACTACAGTTTTAATCATTCCAAGAACTCCTTCACCTTTCCAGTGGTGTTGGGATTGTCTATAGGTGTTTCTGAAGACTATAATTTTGAGGTTTGCTGCTACAAAGCCTTGAACAAAAATGGGAAGAAATCTAGATGCTACTGTGTTCACTAAACTCATGACTGCAAAATTTGCTTTTTCATCTGCTTAGGGAAGAAACATTTTGTACCCTGGTCAGATGTTGCTAAGCATGGAGAGTTTCCAGTCTAGTGTGCATGAAAAAACGGAAAGGGTAGTGAGTTTGCATTTAATGGAAATCAGAGCCCAGATGTGTATTTCATGGATATCCTAGTGTGTCAGTAGGGAATGGGAAATCAGTTTAAAATTTCAGTGTGGTGTGAAGTTCTGAACTTAGCAAGCAACTGGAAATTGTTTTAAATTAATTTTCTACGAAGCTGTCCCTAGTTTAAACACGATTCACTGAATAGACTGCAATGGCTGATTTCCATTAAATGGCTGCAATTTATTCTTTAACTTGTTTCACAAAAAGCAAACAAAGCTGTTTAGGGCTTAACAGTTCAGAACTTCACATGAATGAAGCTACCATGTTGCTTTTCATTCGAATAACCTTTTTTAAAGATGGAAGAAAATGCTTTGAATGAGCAGAGTGTTTTGTTGCAGAGGAAGGGACTGATTTCATTCAGTGCCAGAAAATTACAGGATGTATGTACCTCAGTTTATATGCATTGTTTTAAGTTAGGAAAGAAAGAGCAGGAAACAATTGGATCAGCTTTAGGATATTTCCAAGGAATGGAAAAGTTCCAATGTAAATCCCAGGAAGGGCCTCACAATGAGCAGACAACAAGATATTTAATAGACACTTTGTGTATGGATATGATTATATATAGGCTTTTATATGCTGATAAACTCTCACTGAAGATTTGTATCCGTTATAGTTGGGCTTGTTAATTTTTCTGTGGTTCAGAAAATGGATCGTTATTGCTTTTCAACCATGGTGTATGGACTACAGATAATCTTCGATTTACGACCATAATTGAGCCCAAAATGTCTGTTTGCTAAGGGAAACTGTTAAGTAAATTTTGCCCCATTTTATGACCTTTCTTGACTAGGATTGTTAAGTGAATCACTGCAGCTGTTAATTTAATAACAGGTTGTTAAGAGAATCTGCCATCCCCACTGACTGTCATGGTTCCAACAGATGAAACTCTTCAAAAGAACTTTGAGGCATTGTTTACTTTAAATAATCTTTTATTCGAGAAACCAAGTATCGGCACTACATAATTAAAGCCAAAAACTGAATTCCCCTCTCCTGGGCACAAAGTAGCAAAGCACAATTCCCTCCTCCAACTAACAATCATAAATCACATTCCCCAATTAGCTTGAAGCGTGGGCTTTCTCCCTAGCTCTCCACCCTCCAAATCTTTATCAACTCTGGGTGCAATACCTTTGGATTCCCACAGCTGAGTTATTATTGTTATGACTAATTGGATTCTCATCCACATCCCCCCTCCCAGCATCAACTAACTCTAAAACGAAAGAGAAAAGATGGCTACATTTCCATCTGTTGTCAAAGCAAGAACATCCGATGTTAGCAGCGTTGACATTGACTTTGCTTGTCAGAAGTTTGCAAAAGACGACCACATAACTCTGGGACACTGCAACCATCATAAATATGTGTCAGTGGCCAAAAGTCTGAATTTTGATCATGTGATCATGAGGATGCTGCAACGGTCGTGTGTGGAAAACGGTCATCATTCACCTTTTTTCAGTGCCTTTGTCACTTTGAATGGTCACTAAATAAACTGTTGTAAGTCAAGAAATATCTGTACCATGGTCCCAGTGCAATAATTCTTTACAGTCCTTTTCACAAAGTTTGGAAACTTTTTGATTACCTTTTGCTGGCCACTGGTTGATACTGAATGCTCAGCTCATTGGGTTTCAGCCAAAACCAGCATGACTGTTCTTATGTGCAGAAGAGGGGAGGCAAGCTGATCCTTGACCTCAAGCAGTAAAATTCTGTCTGCTTTTGAGACCTCACCCTCTTGGGATTTTGCAGCGCTGAGGAATACCATAACGTATGTTTCGGATTCTTCTTGGGAAATAGAGCAACATGAGGAAAAGAATTCCATAGGCATTTGCTTTGTAAAAGAAGAATTGCTCCACCCTTTGGGAAGGTTTTTGTTTGAGAGATTAAAAACTCTGGCATGTCTAATTCTGTTGCATCTGGAGATGACAGTCTGGAGCCTGTCTTTGGGATCCTGATCATGCTTCTCCAGGATTTCCAAGGAAATCTTTGCCTCCTTTAGTTCTTGGCTTTCCTTTCACTCCCCAGCTGGGGACAAGCAGAGAAGTCTAGCACATTAATTGAAAACTTTGGCTACAGTTCACATTAAGCAACTGCAATATGCATGCCAGAGATTCAAGACCAAATTTGGAAATGTGCTAGTAAGGGGGCACAGGGGGTTGGGGGTATGGGGTGGGAAGAGAGCATTTCTCCAATCTTTTGAAATAAATACAGGATTAAAAAAAGATTGTTTCTATTGATCGTTTCTATAGAAGTTTGCTTCTCGAACATTTTTGCATGAGATCATTCTGATGTAACAAACTCTTAATTGGCTGATTTGTACAGATCAAGTACAGTCAGTCCAAGCATAGAAATTCAAGAAATGGAAAGTTCTCATAATGTTTTCTTTGGTGTTTCTTGTTTAAAAATCTGAGAGATTACAGTAGTAGGAAATCAAATTTGAGAGATTATAGTAATAGGAAATATTTCAACTTGCAACAGGGACGGTCAATCACATGGATGTCTTCATCCACTGTAGAAACTTCCATGTCCCAAAAAGAAGACTCGGTTTTTATAGAGAGAGATATAGAATTAGATATACAGTATAGATATTTCAGTTATGATTTCTTATTACTGCAATCTCGGATTATACATATGGCGCAAGGCTTTAGAACAGTGGTTCTCAACCTTTTTAATGCCGCAACCCCCAACCGGTCGTAAGTCAAGGACTACTCAGCTGGTGCAGCACCGTTTGCAGAATGGGACTTTTGGCGGGCTCAGCAGGGCAGAGACAGCCTGGACAATTCCTATTGGCTTTTGAAAGTCAATAGAATTAGACTCTATTCAAGAGACTCTATTCTATTGGCTTTCAAAAGCCAATAGAATAAAAGGGAGTAGCACAGCTAAAGAAAAGGGGGAAAAATGGCAGACTGTGTTGTTTGGTGACCCCCGTGAAATGGTCATTCGACCCCAAATGGGGCCCCGACCCACAGGTTGAGAACCACTGCTTTAGAAAGACAATGAAGATTTGGCTGTTTACTTTCGGTCAAGATGCGTAGAATTCTTACATGGAAGGGTATGATATATTTGAATACTTGATTATTAATTAATTGTTATATTTATTTTAGTTGGTGATATTTTGTTTGGGGTTATTTTTGTTTATCAGTTTACTGCATGCTTCTCAGAGTTGCTTTGTTTAAATGGGGCAACTATATATATGCTGGAAATAAATCAATAATCCTTCTGTGAGCGAGGCTAGACTGAGAGAGAATATGATTAGTCAAAGTTCCCCAAGGGGGTCCTGTAACTAAGGCTGGATTTAAACCTGGGTTTCCCCTGTTTGGAATCCCAAATTAAGTGCTACATTCTCAATAGCTGCAGTATTTCTCCTTTAGAAGCAGGAGGGAAATAGATCTGTAACTCTGCTGTGTGTGGCCTGAAATCAGATAAGTAAAAGTGTTATACTTGAGGACTGTTATCTGCTTCTGGAGCTGATCAGATACACTGGCACAAGAACAAGGAGACTTCTTTAGGTGATAAGATATCTGTCTCATTATGTTTTTTGTTTTTTTTTTTTTAAAAAGGCCAGAACCAGGATTAGGTCAGATAAAACAAAAGCCTGTTTGGTCAGGTAACCTTAGCATTCATAACAGAACCTTACTTTGCTTCTCAGTACAGATACATGTACAGTGGTACATTGGTACTTAACTGCTTTGAAACTCATCAAATTTAGTACTGAACACATTTTGACTTGAAAATTTTGTCCCGGTATTCATTGTTTGTTTGATACTCAACCCACAAGCTAGAACTTATTGGTGCCAGCTGCCTTGTGATTCATTTCATTATTCCTTAGGGGAAAAATAGTTTGATACTAATTGTTTTTAGTACTCATCACACTTCCCAGAACCAATTAATGATGAGTAACAAGGTACCACTGTAGTTTTATAGCCCATTTGCAGAAAATGTTTTTTAAAATAGTTTGGGAATGGCAGTCATACCCTTGTGAAGCCTAAGCAAAATGGAGCCTAAATGTGATACTGTATATTTAATATGCCTTTTCAGGAAAGACCGAAGCGGTGATCAGAAACTTCAGCCCACACTATAAACGTCAATATGCTGTGTCCTTTTGCAAACAGATCCAGAATGAGCTGGAACAAAATAGAGATCTGCAGTCTCAATTCTTAAAAACAAAGGTAAGAAAAAGTATTATTCATATATTTTTCTATGTTTCCACCCCATGTTTTGGGCTATGGGTGTCAGCCTTGCAAGGTGGACTATACAGGAAATACAGACAGATGAGTTAATTCTACTTAATTGTAAAGCTACATACACAAAGTCTCATAAGTCCCAAAATACATTTCTCTTCCTATCTCCCTTTGCAGAGTCCCTTCTAAGCTGTTCATCCGACCTAAACTCCTGCTACAGGCTAAGCTGCCTTTTATCTGACCATTTCTTGGCTTCATCTCTTTGCCCAGTCTCCCAAGATTATCCCACATGCTATTACCATTGGCCATATCTTCATTATGCATGTTGCTATCATCTCCATCTGAGTTCAGATGCACCAGTTCCCTTTGTACCTGTAATTCAGACTCATTGTAGTTATTATTATATCACAATCTGGCAAACTTTGTTTGAAGGTTCTAGTTGGTTGTGAGGCTGATCATGTCCTCATTTGTGGTCTAGTTTACACATCAAGCTAAGCCTGAATGTGATTTCATTTGGTTTTACCTTTGTGCATTGTGCAAAAAAGATTTCTGTGTGAGTGATAATTTATGCCTTAGTCAAGATGCCAATTTATCTATTCTAGGTTTGTTTAATTGACCAGTATTGAGGAAACTATGATTTAATGCATGAACACAGTTATCCTCTTTGAGTTGCATCTGTTTCACAAGAGCCTATGTTGTGCTTCCCAAAAACTCTGTTGAACCACAAATGATGAAAATACCTAGATTCCTGTGCAAAAAGTATCAGCCTGTACTTTAGGCTAGAGAAAATGAAACAGGCTTCATGGCTAATAAATTTAATGAATTAACTAACTAGCTAAATAAATAAATACTGTAAATTGGTTTTGTTTCCAAGCCCTTTTCCTCTCAAGCAGAATATTCAGGCTCATCTGAAAGCTGAATTTGAGTGTACAGGGCTCAGATACAGTATAATCTTGTTGTAGTAGCATGAAAAATCTCATATGTTCATATCAGTGCTTTGAAGTTCCACACCAATCTGTCCAAGAGGCTAGACCCTTTCGCCCACTTTACAAAAGAAAAGGAACATAGTATTTGTAAGAAGCTCATTCTGTTTCTTGGTATCATTTTTCTATAGCCACCTGGATCATCCAGCATGGTCCTTTATGAAGGAGAGGTGTCACATTTTGCTGAAGACCTGAAGAAATGGAAAGAGAGATACATAGTAATTAAAAATAATTACTCCGTGGAAAGCTTTGAAAGCAAAGAGGTACACTGTTGATTTATTAAGTTCTGAGGCAAGCATGATGCTTGAAATCCAAAACTGGTGAATGTGTATACTTTTTGAGCCACTGGGCACATTTGTAACCCTTGGAGCATATTATAGGCAGATATGTAAAATAAAATACTAATTTACACATTGACAAAATGGGAATTGAGGTGCTTTGCTAACTCATTCCTGAAGTCCACCCTGGAGATTTTCTATCAACCCATGTTTATGTTCCCCCATCCCCTTCTTGGCAGTTGAACATGCTTCCCTTAAAAGTCTTGAGCTGTAGCCACCCATGATTTCTATTCCTCAAGAACATTTATAGACAACTTAAAAATAAAGAGAGTAAAATAGGATGGCAATTTATAATACCCATGTTTCCCCAAAAATAAGACCGGGTCTTATTTTTTTATTTTTTTTGCCTCCAAAAGAGGCACCAGGTCTTATTTTCAGGGGCTGTCTTTTATACTCACCGAGAGCCTCTCCCAGCCGGTCCACTTCTGCTGGCCAAAGGAACAGCTTCATTCTGCAGGTGCATTCCGGCCTGCATCTTGCATTCAGGCCTTTCCGGAAGGCCTATTCAGCTGAGAACCAAGCTATGGATTGAATCCATAACTCTGTTCTCGGCTGCAGAGACCTTCTGGAAAGGCCTGTGACTGAGAACTGCAGGCCTCGCTGTAGAAGACGCCGCAGAAAAAGTGGGCCATTGAGGAGAGGCCTGGCTGCAAGGTAAGTGGGTGCAGGGCGTGTGGGGCAGCTCCACCCTCCCACTCCCACTCACTTGGTTTTTAGGTATGTGCCTCGCCCCAAAACTAGGGCTTATTTTGGGGGCAGGTCTTATATTAGGCCCACTCCCAACAATCAAGCTAGGGCTTATTTTTGTGGGAGGCCTTACTTTCAGAGAAACACGGTATGTTGTTATCCATTTTTTAAAAAAAGTTTTAAGAAGACGTTAGTATTCTAAAGTGGTTGTCTTTTTATCCAGACCTCAAATGATTCTGCTCCAAGGACATAAACTGTATATGAGTATTGCCATTTTCCCATCCTTTTTGTGTCTTGTATTTCCTTTGTGCACTTGAGAAATCAACAGGTCCAAAGGACATCACTCTTTCCCACCAACTATCCCATTTGTCTGCATTCTTTTCCACTTTGTAGCTTGATGTATTCCCAGTATGTGATTAGAGATAGATGTTTTCAAGGTCAGACAACTGGAGGTAAGAAAGGTTACTGAAAGTCATGAAGTTGTCATCGGTGATTAGCAGACTTTTGTGCCATCCTGGGAGGTTATAAATTTGATATTTATGTGATGGAAAGTTCCAAGTAAATTCCTAGGTATTTAAAAGCCTTGATTTGATTATCCATAATTAATATGACGATGAATACAATATCTTAATTTCGGAATGATTACTTTCCAGCTTTTCATCTTATAAATAAGATACTAATGCACATGGGTTTCATCTCAAGCCTATATGAATCTGGGCAGTTAATGATACTTAAAAACAGAATGAAAACAATATAAGAAAACTATAAATAGCAGCTGGGAAAAACAACCAACAGCTATACTGAATTCATAACAGTAAATACAACTAAGAAATGGGTTGACTTGCATCATCAGGGCCCCAGGCTCGCTGATAAAACCAAGTCTTCAAGGTTTTACAAAAAAAGTCAGTGCAATTAGGGAAACTCTGATCTCTGTGGGGAATGATGTTCCAGAGGACAGGGGCCACAACAAAAAAGACTCTCTTCAGATGACACTCCCTGATGGGACAGGAGCATTCATCTCCTGTCAGATGTATAATCCAGGGAGAGACAGTCCTATATAAGTAACCCAATCCCAAACCAAGAGGTCCAGCACCTTGCATTGAACCTGGAAGCATACTGGCAACCAATGCACCTTGCAGAGCATAGAGGTTGCATGTGCTGTATGACAGAAAGACCATGACTGCCTGTATCACTGCATTTTGCATCAGTTAAAGCTTCTGAACACTCTTCAAGGGCAGCTCCATGTAGAAGCATGTTGCAGAAACCCACTTAGGACATCAATCTGGGACACCAATGATGTGACAAAGTTAGCATGTTGAAGAATGGAGATTGGTTTGTGGGCTAGAGGGGGGATGAGGGGGGGAGAGATAACAATAGAAATTTCATTTAGTGAGACTTGAAAGATATAATCTAATAATTCACTTTTCCTAGAGAGGCTATGAAGAAAATCAGCCTCATTATTGACAGTGTCTTCTTACATCTGATAATGATGCTAAACAAAAATATCTTTATGCATGGGAAATGCTTGCACAACCTGATGGGTCCTATTTCCACTTTTCAAAGCATTAAGCAGAGTTGCATTCTGGCCCCATCATTGCCTAGCTTTTAAATTAATGGCACTGATCAGGAGAAGATCTTACAACATCGTATCAGAAATGCCCTCCATCATCATACCATACCCAAAAAAAGTTAATTCTATTACTTGATTTCACATTTAATGTATAATAAATGTTATACATACTACTTGTCTAATTTATTTTATTTTACACATACTATTATGTTAATGTTTAATAAATAATCCTATCTTCCAGGAAGATCCTAGAATCCTATTGGAAGAGAAAATGCAGTTTAAAAAAAGTTAGATAAATGGAAATTTTAAGTGAAGCTGGGGTGTATGAACTATGTGGTTTCTTAGAGCATTTATTTACCTCCTATTCTGGATTTTGAAATTTTGGTGTTGTTCACATTCTTTCATTCATTTTTAGGAGCCGCTTCTTAAGTCAAAGGTGCTTTTGTGTTTTGTTTTGTTTTGTTTTTTAAAAAGAAAATCTTTACTACTGTTTCTTAATTCTAGGCATTCCAGAAAGGAGTAAGTTCAAAGACTTGCATTTTCCCTGTTGGAGGCAAAGTGCTAATTACAGGGGAAGAATATAACTCACTATCTGATAAACATTTCCCAGAACCTAATGGTAAGGTATAGCCCATTCCCCTTTATTTTTTATACTGCTTAGCATTTTAAGTGATGTTCTCTTTCAAGTGTTGCATTGTCTTCATAAAAGGTTACACACATGGGTGGTGTCTAGAGCACCTAGAGTTGCAATGAAAACTAAGCATAGGTGGCACAAATGTTAAGGCAGGATTACCTGTCTACTGGGAATTTGTCTATAATTACATGTAAACCTGTTGGAATGACTAAAAACATAAACGTATGCATATATTTAAGGTTCCAGTGAAAAGGAGAATACCCAGGCTTTTGTTGTCCCTCCAAAGGAATTTCCAGTCTACCTGTGGCAGCCATTCCTTAAACATAGTTATTACTGTTTTCTGGATTCAGAAGCTCAGAAGCAATTCAGCACCATGCTGAACGATTGCATCAGGCACTTAAACCATGGTGAGTATAGCAGACATAATCTGATAACTTTGCTATTGTTCTGCCTTTCAGAAAAAGATCTGTTTGACCATTGGTTGCAAACTAATCCATGTAGCAAAATGAAAATCTATGTTTTTCTTGCATTATCCCGATAAGTAATGACATGCTTAGAGTTGACCCAACAACTTTTAAATGAGAGACATATGGCTTCGTGTTTATACATGCTTATCTTTTTAAGGATCAGTTAGTGGGTGGTGGATGGAGAAACCAACTGTGTTGACAGCAGCAAAGTCATCCTCTATATTGTGGAGAGAACCTGGCTGGTAAATCAGTCAGACATGGAGAAGATAAAAGCTGGGTTGGCAATCCTATTATTTATTTCCTTACTCTGTCATTTTGTCTAGCCATACAGGAAAGAGAGTCGTAGATTTGCTACCGAGAGTGTAGTTTGCAGTTTCAAAAGTTCAATTTGACAAAGTGAAATAACACTGATTTTGTTAACATTAGAGAAAGTGCTTTCTCATTTTTTACTTATTGGTTCTTCAGAGCATAAGATTTGCCTGAAAGAGGTGATATTGGAGAAGCATGTAGGGGATAGCGTTTGCACTGTGAAATCACAATGGTTTGTCATTCTGATGAGACCTGCAGATGCTGTGGCTGCTTCTGAACATAATGTTGAAATGTAGAATACTCTTATTCAGAAAGCCTGATATGTTTTTAATTTCCTAAACTACATACAGATATACATTACAAAAGAGCAGAAAGGAAAAAAAATCAACTATTGTCCTTTAACAATTTTCATATGCACTTGAAATTTGCATAACAATTATATATTAAGACTCCCTCCCCCCCCCCAAAAAAACCTGCTGGACTTGTTGACTCAGAGAATACGTGACCCCTGTTTTCTTATGCAGAGAAATTAACCATCTCTCTCCAAAAATGTCTGAACTGGCATGTTCTCTAAACATTCTGCTCTTAAGAACTTTTTTTTCTCAATCTTCTGCAGGAGGATTTGCAGAATAATGTGCATTAACCGATTTGTACATTTCTCCCATTTCGCTATGAAGGAAAACAGGGAGCAAGTTGAAATGTCTAAACTCAAACTTTATTAGGCAAAAGGAAAATGTGTGTTTAGCTGTTTCAACTTTTTTTGGGGGGGGGGGGGGCTTGCAGAAGCCTGTTAGTTTTGTAAGCCAATGGGGAATAAGAGATGGCAAATAGCTGGACACTGTTCTTTCTGAGATTTTTTGAAAACTAACTGGAAAACTCAGACTGGAGCATAAAACTGGGATCTCAGTGTGTGTTTTGTCATCAACATATGGCAAAAGGCCAACACAGTCAAGTTTCAGCATTGAGATGATTTCATACTCAGTATAAGATTTCATATGTATTTTGAAATATCTATCAAATATTGACTGATTTTTCAAAACTTCCAGTGGAATTGGTGGAAAGAACTGGTCATGTAAGAAGTAACCCTCACTTCATAGTCAGGGTCACAATGTAAATGGCCATGGCAGGCCAAAACATGCTTTAAAAACCCTTAGGCCTGAAATTCAGGAGTGGTAACTAGAATATTTTCCTTTACCAATTTTATCTTCCTTTTTCATGAATGAGGCCCATTCCTTCCAAGCTATAGTTCTGTAAGCAGAACTGTGAATATACAGTGCATTTGGCACTGAAAGGTTAAGGAAGATTAAGTCCAAGCCTACATATGGTGCTGCAAATCCCATAGTAGGAACACATGAGCTGATATTTTGCAAACCATTGAATCGGTAAGCTTCAGGGAACATGTTTGGTAAAGCAGTCAGCTGAAGTCAATTTCCTGTAAAGCATTCTTAAAGGGAAAGTTTTTCCATTTCATGGTTTATAATCTCCTTATTCATTTCTCAAAACCTCGGTAATAAAATCATCTGTGTGGAGTCTAATACCTTTTGTTTTGTCCTGGGAAAGTAATTGAAGGGTTCAGTTTTTCCTGGCACTTTGTGAATCTTCTGTGACTCTAAATCTTCAGTAATGCTTTAGTTTGTTCAAAAGGCAGAACTGTTTCCAGACTTGCAATCCTCTTGGTAGTTTCTGTTTTTAATTGAATTTCAAACCATCACTTTGGAGGACAATAGGGTACTTGCAAAATGAACAAAAGCAGTGTTTCCAATTTTTGAACAGTTTTGGATTTCTTTCCTGAAATGTTGTTCCTTCTCTTCCTCCTCTTACTTCTTCTTGTCAGAAGGGTGGAACTACTATACTCTAGAAAGTTCTCCCACTTATTAAGCATTTGGATATATTGAATTAAAGATTTTCTGGGCTAGATGCTTCTAGGTGTTTTTTGTTTTGCTTTTTATGTTGCACAAACTGACATTTCATCATGCCTAATCATGTGATCTTGTTTTGAGGGAGGAAGTTCATTGCAATATGTTTTAACTGAATGTTAGTATGGAATCTAGCAACAAGATGGCCGTGTCTTGACTGATGTCCTCATCTGGTATGTCACCTGTTCAATTACCTCAGGATGGCTACTTAATGATGTGGATCTTGGGAGACAAGGCCAAGAGATTCAGCCAGGGGAAAAGTTAGTTGAGCCTGCTGCAGAAATGTGGGCAGGGCAAGGAACTTAGAAGATACCCTCCCTAGTTTTGTGGGCTGTAAAGCAGCACGGGGAAGCAACAGAGAATTGTATTTCAGATTTGCAAGATTCTGTTAATGTAACTTTACAATAAAGCAGAATTAGTTCATATGGTTGTGTTTCCTGTCTGGTGAATCTAGTAAGGCTGATATGTTTAGCTTTTAGTTTAAAAGGTAAACAGTCATTGGTAGCAAGTATAGACACACTGCAACTAACATCTCCATCCCTCCTGTTGCAGCTTATGTTCCCTTGAGAGGCGTTGTAATTTTATATGCCAGTCTGATAATTCTAAGCAAGTTAAATTTGATACGATTTGATAAGAACAAATTCAGAATTTGTTAAGGTTGTTGGAAATAATTAGGCTGAAGGTCGACTCTGCTTTTGCTCAAAACATACCCATCATAACTCAGTCATGTTGTGTATAAATATTGTAGTGTTTCTGAAAGTGAAAGGTGAAAAAGACCTCCACAATAGCAGAAAGTTTCCTTCCCAGGATTTCTTCCCAGACCTACTTCTTATTAATATGTTGGCTGAACTGTTCGAAATTGTAACCAGAATCTAGCGATGCCAAGGTTATGTGATATTATTTTCCCAGAAAAATGGGAAGTGCATATAGTGTAGTAAGGATTGATCATATCTGGAATCAATGGACTTCAAATGGCATAATGTGAAAATGAAGGTTCAGCATGGCATCTATATCTGGAATGTAGATTATTGTTCTTCAACAGATTAAGGTTGCACATAAGAAAAAAATTAAGATCTCCAAAGTCAGATCCCCAAATAAGGTCTCAATTTTGGATTACTTTTGTCCACTTACACGAATGGAGGAACAAAGTGAGAATAAACAGATCATGTGCAGTAGCATATTCACAATACATCAGGTTGGACTATGAATCCTTATATTATGTGCAAGAGTGAACATAATAGGCATACAAATTTAATAATAAATAAGAATGGCTAATGTCAATCAAAATTTACAACACCCATGGCTTTCATTCTTCATGCATACTTCCTATCTTCAAAAAAATACAGATAGTCTTCAATTTACAATCGTTTGCTTACTGACCATTTAGGGTTACAATTAATGGCATTGAAAAATGTGATTTATGATTGTTTTTTACACTTATGACAGTTGCAGCATCCCCATGGTCATGTTAGCAAGATTCAGATATTTGGCAACTGATTAATATTTATGACGGTTACAGCCTGGGGTCACATGAGCCCCTTTTGTGACCTTCTGACCAGCAAAGTCAATCAAGAAGCCAGTTTCACTTAACAACTACCTTACTAACTTAACAACCACTGTGGCAAGAAAGGCCATAAAATGGGGCAAAATTCACTTAACCTATGTTTCACTTAGCAACAGAAATTTTGGGCTCAATGGTGGTTGTAAGTTGAGGACTATGCCAGTATTAAAAGCATATGAGTTCATTTATTGTATGTGCAAAAGAAGTAGATTTTGTGTGTTGTGTAAGTGTGCATTATTTTAGCATGGAATTTCTGTTTACTTGATGAATTCAGTTGACTGTTCGTTCGATTAATCTTTCCAAATGCTACAGTATGTGATACTATATATACCTACTGACTTTTTGTGAGCATTGATTTGAGAATTAGTATGGTGCAGTTGAATTAAGATTAGAAAGACTAAAATCCAAGTTCACTTTCAGCTCTCAGAGCTCATTGGCTGACTTTAGTCTGGTGCTTTCTCTCAAACCAACTTACAATCATCAAATTTGCAGACCAAGCTGGCAGGAATAGCCAACACTCCAGAAGACAGGCTTATGATATAGGAGGATCTCGACAGACTTGAACACTGGGCGCTATCTAACAAAATGAAATTCAATGGTGAAAAAAGTAAGGTTCTACATCTAGGCAAGAAAAACCAAATTCACAGGTATAGTATAGTATACTATTGACCTTGCTCAATAGTAGTAACTGTGAGAGGGACCTCGGAGTCCTAGTGGACAATCACTTAAATATGAGCCAGCAGTGTGCTGCAGCTGCCAAAAAGGCCAACACAGTGCTAGGCTGTATTAACAGAGGGATAGAATCAAAATCACGTGAAGTGTTAATACCACTTTACAATGCCTTGGTAAGGCCACACTTGGAATACTGCATCCAGTTTTGGTCACCACAATGTAAAAAAGATGTTGAGACTCTAGAAAGAGTACAGAGAAGAGCAACAAAGATGATTAGGGGACTGGAGGCTAAAACATATGAAGAACAATTGCAGGAACTGGGTATGACTAGTTTAATGAAAAGAAGGACTAGTGGTGACATGATAGCAATGTTCCATTATCTCAGGGGCTGTCACAAAGAAGAGGGAGTCAACCTCCAAAGCACCTGAAGGCAGGACAAGAAGCAATGGATGGAAACTAATCAAGGAGAGAACAAACCTAGA